TAATTATACTATGTATAATTGTGGTTCAATAAAAAAATAAATTTGCCAAGTGCAGTGGTGTTCAACTTGTATTCCAAGATACTAAGAAGCAGGATTACTTAGGCAGGATTACTTGAACTGAGGAGTTCAAGGCTAAGAAGAACATAGTGAGACATGATCACAAAAACAAAGAAAGGAAGAAAGAAGAAAGAGAAGAGGAAAGAAGGAAAAAGAAAGGAGAAGAGAAAGAAGAAAGAAGAGAAGGAAAGGGAAGAAAAGAGAAAGAAAAGGGAGAAGAAAAAAAAAGTGATCCTGGTCCAGAGTTTTAAACTCTTAAGGTTTTCTGACAGGAGTAGCTTTCATTACTCATAAGGACTCTTTTATACTACAAAGGAGTTTATGCTGATGACTGGACACAGGTTAGTTCCTGGATAGTTTTAGAATGCAGATTGATTTTCAGAGATTAAAATTTCCTGTCCCCCTGTTATAAAGATTTGGACATTGGGACCTGGGGAGCTTCCAGATGATAAACCCAGTGATGTGCTGGGAGGGAGGTTACCTGGAGAAGCCATAGACGCTCTATGCTCTTCTTCATACATGGCCCTAAGCATTTCCTTCACTATTTTTAATTCATATATATATAATATATAAATATAATTTATATATAATATATAAGTATAAAATAAATCAGTAAGGGTAAGCAAAGTGTTTTCCTGAATTCTATGAGTTACTTTAGCAAGTGACCAGACTGGAGGGAGAGTCACATAACACTTGAATTAGCAGAAGCATTAGGTGGCCTTAGCTCCTAAAGTGGAGGCGACTTTGTAGGACTCAGTCCTAATCTGCACCAAACCCAGCAGTTATCAGAATAAATTGACTCATTGGACACTGAGTATCTCATTGGACACTTGAGTATTGAAGAATTTGGGAGCTGATGTGGAAATTTCCCACACATTTGGTGTCAGAAAACATCACTCAGTAATAAACATACCAAATACCAAGAAAAATAATGATTTTTAGGGGTTTAGATGCAGGGGAAAGAATGCAGAATTCAAAGTCATATTGATATCTCACCATATGAATCACCTCATCAGACTTGGAAGCATATTTCAACTTCAAGATAGTTTTACA